GCCAGAGAGGGCAGGTTCTTACCTGGTGCCTCTGATAGGCTGAAAACATTTTTTCAAAATCCTCCAGGTCCAGAATCCGAAATACCTGCATATCATCAATCTCATTCCATACGGTGCCAGGGACACGCTCCTAAGGTTCAGGGTAGGGAGAAGACCCCATGGTTGACCCGACTCCTTCCTGATGGAGATGCTTGATGCCTCCCCCACCCCACCTGTCCCCTAACTGCACATACTGCTGTGGCCAGGCTTTCAGACCTTCGGAATGGGTCCCCTTGAAATCTGCCCTCCGCTTCAATACTCTGCTCCAAGGAAGAGGCCAGAGACAACCTCCTCTCCCTCCCTCTGGCATGGGGCCACACATAAGCATGTTCCAGAAACTGCTGGGAGTGCTGGAATGAGGGGTGCACCACACTCCTTCCAGGAAAGCAAAAGCAAAAGCAAGCACAGTGCTCTCGGGGCTCCCCACAGCCCCACTCGCCTTCCAGGGCAAGGCTGGCGGGAGGCTGATCTCATCGCTGGCCGGTAACACTGGAGGGATTAGGGCCCTCACATATTTGGGATCCTCAAAACCTCAGCAGAGACTGTACTTTCTTTCCCGGATTCCCAGAAAGTGGACAAATGCCAAAGGTCGGACATCCTGGCCCCTGTAGTGACTCTGCTCAGACCAGCAACACTCTGCCACCATTTCCCATTGGTCAGATGCAGGGAAGGTGTCCCCATCCTTTATGAGAAGAATGGGCCTAGGGTTCTACATTTCCAGGTCTCTCAGTGCAGGAGGTGCCCATCTCTGTGCAGGACGCTTGCACTGGAGAGTGGGAAGGAGCTGGTAGCCAAGCCAAACATCACCCTGGCAGCTTCGTGACCCTGCTGATGGCTTAGAGCACAGGGAGCAGATCCCCATCCCCACAGGCATGTGCACCCTCTCTTAAGAATCCTCACCTGGTCCAGAGCTTTCCTGTCCTTTAAAAGAGAACCTCCCTGCCTTCCTCTGGGGACCTTATCAGTGCCTCCTCCTCCTCCCTGCATCCCCCCTCAGCAAGACTTGGAGAGAGAAACATACCTTTCACTCACTTTTATTTTCTTAAACTCTGGAAAGGGGAGGCTAGGCCAGAGTCAGGGGGTGGGGACATTCCTGTGGACTTCCAAAGGCCAGGGACCCTCTTGTGGAATGCTGGGCTGGGAAGCTCAGAGCAGCAAGAGATACAGGCAACTGGCCAAACCCAACACAGACACATTCTTTTCATGGCAGAAACAACCACCACATATGAGAGTGTGTGCGTGCATGCGTGCATGTGTGCCTGTGTGTACACAGAAGCATGCGTGGGGTAGGGGAGCAGGACTTGGGAGAGGAGCAAGGCTCCTGGAAAGGGCGATGTGGGAGGCAGAGAGGAGCTGGGAAGGGGAATTGAATAGGGGAAGGTGGGGAACGGGGGTTAGCAGCCTGGCTGCCCAGTGACCCAGAGTCTATTCTGCAGGGAAACCTGCACCTAAATCTAGGCCTGGGGTGGAGGCGGGGGGAGAGGGAGGGCCCACAGAGGTAACGTGTTCCCTCCCTCTTTGTTCTGGGGGAGGCT